TTTTTTTTTTTTTTTTTTTTTTTTATTTCCACACCCTTTTTATTGTGCTATATGATATTTATTCGTTTACTTTTGCCCGGCTTTTTTGTCGCCTCCATTTATTATCCCAGAAAACCAATCTTTATTGATAACTGTTGTTACAAGGATTAATTAAAAAGCCACTGTCCACTTAAATAATCTAATTTTTTGATTTTCTTTTGCAGTTTTACACGTATTTGGCATTAAAATTAACGGATTGGGAATGTCCACGAACACAGCAGGATTTCGACAACAGTTATACGTTCAAAGTTTATTTATTCCAATTCATAAATTACTATTCGTCAATTTTTTACATTGCCTTCATCAAAGGGAAGTAGGTTTTGTATGCCTTTTGTATTAAAAAAACTGTTTTTTGTCCATTTGCGAACAAAACCAATTACATTTCGTTTACTATAATTTAAAATCCATTGTGGCTGTTCATGTAGAACCATTAAATTTCGAAAGATGAAACGAACGGTAGGGTCGCCAGCAAGCTGACCATCAAGTGATGCAGCACTGATTAGAGCAACGGGAAAATTTGCTAGCTCGGAAGTCAAAATGTGATAACTGATCTGTGTGTAAGCAGAACACTTTTATTTCTACATATTTTTGTCAAATTTTTTGATCACTTATGAATGAATCTCGATATATTGTCTTGATACCCAATTACAGCTCATAAAGCCCTATCATTAAATTTTTGCAGTGAAATTTTTATAATTTAAAATTGTTTTAGTTTATCAAGTGTTCCTGGCCGGCATTATTTTGGACTTCGACCAGAAGAATGTGATCCGGCTGGTTGCATGGTTGAGCTGGTCATTCAGTTGGCGATCATTATGTGTGGCAAACAGTTCTGGAATGCCTTCATGGAATTTGCTTGGCCGTAAGTAACAGTGCAACAGATCTTTGAAATATTGAATTCTACAAAAAAGAAGATAAAGTATGGAAAAAGCAGAAAATTAACTTTTTTTGTACTTTTTATCCGTTTTGCCTTGCAGCACTAGAGCGTTGCAACAGGCAACAAAAAAGCATATTGTAACGACCCTGTCAGTGTGTGTATGTGTGTGTGTGTGTTCGTCTGTCCGCGCATTTCATCTCGCCAACCGCGCAAGCTTTGAAGCTGAAATTTTGCCAGTGTGTTCCCCAGCCAAGTGCCACTTCAGGACCGCGGTATCAACTTTCACGCACGTCTGGGTCCTGTGTACGAGCACGTGGAAGTTTTGGCGCGAAAACTGTTAACTCGGGAACGGGAAAAGCTAGAAAGCTGAAGCTATAGGGTAATGTTCTCCAGCCGTATATGACAAAAAGATTTCAAATTCAGCTGTCCAGGACTGCCCGGGGCTCACGTACGGGTGCGTGAAAATTATGGCGGAAAAATTCACAACTTGAGAATGAGAAAAACTAGAAAGTTGAAACTTTGGGGAAATGTCCCCTACTCATGCGCGACCGAAATCAGTTGTGTGGAAGCACCCGAGACCCACGTACGCTACATGTGAATGTTTTGGCGCAAGAATTACTAACCCTGGAACGGGAAAAGCTAAAAAGCTGAAACTTTAGGGGAATGTTCCGCACTCAGGTAAGACCCAAATTAGGTGTTTAAGAACGCCCGGAGCCCACGTTGGCACGTGGAAATTTTGGCGCGAAAATCACTAACCCGGCGAAGCGGAAGTGACGATGGGCCGGAACATCTGGAGCTCCCTCCCTCAAGCACCTTCAAGCAAACTGCTAATAAGATGCGCTAAAATAGAGCAGCATCTCCAACCTTCCTCCCTGTTGACTTGAAAGGGAAAAATAGAAGCGTACCATTTCCGGACCGTTCAGTGAATACTACCTACCACACGAAAAAGGAGGAATTACGGTATTAGCCGAGAAGCGGAAATGACTATAGACCGGAACATCTGGAGCTCCCTCCCTCAAGCACCTTCAAGCAAACTGCTTATAATATGATGCGCTAAAATAAACAAATCAATAAAAGTCTCAAAAGATGAAACTGAAAAGAACGGAAGAATATGAAATGGGAAATGATAGGGGAAGCGTCGATAATGACTGTGTCCGGGGCTCGAGCAACACCTCCAACCTCCCTCCCTGATGATCTGAAAGGGAATAACAGGCTTGAGCAACCCGGGCAATCCTACCCGTCGTCGACAGAAAAAATTTTTCGCAAATCGTGTACGAGACGAGCCGAGCCGAGGTTTAGTAGCTCTTTTTCAAATTCAGGTCTTTTGAACCGCCTGGGACCCAGATACGAACACGTGAAAATTTTGGAGGGAAAATTGCTAACTCGAGAGCGAGGGAAGCTAGGAAGCTCAAACTTTAGGCGAATGTCCCCTATTCGCATACGACCAAAATATTTCAAATCCAGCTAAAGCTGCCCGGAACTCACGTATGGGCACGTGGAATTTTGGCGCGGAAATCACTAACCCGGGAACGGGAAAAGCTAGAAAGCTGAAAACTTTAGGGGAGTGTTCCCCATTCGTGTACGACGAGAATTAGCAGTTTAGAGGTGCCTGGGATGCATTGATGGCAAAATTAATAACTCGGGAAATAGAAAAAGCTAGAAGGCACAAACTTTAGGGTAATATTTCCTACTCATGCACGATCAAAATCAACTGTTTAGATCCGCTCGAGACCTATGTACGGACAAATGGAAATTTTGACGACAAAACCGCCGACTCGGGGAACGTGAAAAGCTAAAAAACTTAAACTTTAGGGGGAAGTCCTTCACTCATCTACGAAAAAAAGATTTGAAATTCAGCGCTTTTTTTAGAACTTCCCGAGACCCACGTATGGACACATGAAGGTTTTGGTAAGAAAATTGCTAGCCAGAGAACGAGAAGAGCTAGAAAGCTTGAATTTTGAAGGAATGTTCTCCTCTTATGTACGATTAAAAGTTTTCGAATCAGCTCCTTAGCGTACCTGGGTCCCATGTACGGGGATGTGGAATTGTTGACTTGAAAACTGCTAACTCATGAGTCAGAAATGTTAGTAAGCTGAATGTATAAGGTAATAACCTTATAGATTCAACTCCTTCCCACGTGCACTCAAAAGATTTCTAATTGAGCTCCTTAGTGCTTCTGGACTTTATGTGCAAAGGCCTGTATTTTGCCGTGAAAATTGCTTACTATGGAACCAGAAGAGCTAGGAAACTGGAAATTTAACTTAATGTTCTCTAATCACACCAAAAAGTTTCAAATTTAGCTCCTCGATAAGCACTAGTCTCTTGCACGTACAAGTGAATTTGTTGGCATATTTCCGAGCAGAATCTATGCAGATAGAATACCAAGATTTTACGAAGATGTTTCTTTTCCAAATGTGACTTAGGACATTTCATATAGCTTTCAAGCGTACCTTAAGGTTCAAGCCCGGGCACACAGAATTGCAAATGGAAGATTTCTCAGTTCGGGAGCCCGGTGAGTCGAAAAGCTCACGGAAATGTTTGCTTCCTATATGTAAGCTAAAAATTTAGCTTTCAATTATGCCAAGTTCTAACATATTTGCACGTAAAGTTTTGAAATTGTGCAACTTTTTCAACTCTGCAAACAGCTAATTTAAAAGAACTGCTAAAACACGGCTCGGCTTGGCCCGTTTCGCACACGAGCTGCAAAAAATTTTTTTTCCAGAAGGGAGGTAGGGTTGCCCCACGGCGGATGGCGATAGTTTGAATTTGATGCCAGCGCAAGTTAGAAAAAGTAGAAGAGAAGGATTTTTATGGCTTTTCAGGTCACGCATATGTGATGTGTAACGTATCAGGGTAGGCGCATTT